GAAACACGCCACTGAGAACAAGGTGAGGGCGGGGAGAGGTCTTAACCTCAACCTGAGGGGTCTTGGGTTGACCCAAGCCAACATGAATAGGTTTTGAGATCAACCAAGCCTGGTTGGGTTGTGTCACCAAGACGCAAGGCTGGTTGGATTGGGTTGCCAAGACCTAACGCTGGTTGGATTGGGTCATCAAGACCAAAGCCCGATTGGGTTCTCCTGCACATCCTGATTTAGGCCCGGCTCAGCCAAGAGCAAGAAAAACCTCCTGTCTCTTGCCTGACCTCTGACACCAAGCTGAAGGCCTGATGTTTCCCTTCTTGCAGGTCAAGAATCTCACAGAGGAAATGGCTGGGCTGGATGAGGTCATTGCCAAGCTGACGAAGGAGAAGAAGACCCTGCAAGAAGCTCACCAGCAAGCGCTGGATGACCTGCAGGCGGAGGAAGACAAGGTCAACACCTTGACCAAGGCCAAAGTCAAGCTGGAACAGCAGGCGGATGATGTGAGTGTGGACCGGTCCCATCATGGGCACTGCCAAGGAGCTTCCTGGGGCAGAGATCATGAAAAGCTGAGGTTTCTCCCCATTTCTCTGTTTCCACGCAGCTCGAAGGCTCCCTGGAGCAGGAGAAGAAGATCCGGATGGACCTGGAACGGGCCAAGAGGAAGCTGGAAGGCGACTTGAAGCTGACCCAGGAGAACATCATGGACCTGGAGAACGACAAGCAGCAGCTGGAGGAGAAGCTCAAGAAGTGAGGCTGGACCTCCCACCCAGTCCCACCCGGTCAGGGGGCGCAGGCAGGGACCTCAGGGCTCTCTGTCTTCCTCCGTAGGAAAGAATTTGAGCTCCACCAGCAGAACAGCAAGATGGAGGATGAGCAGGCACTGGCCCTGCAGCTCCAGAAGAAACTGAAAGAGCTGCAGGTGAGGGATCCAATCTCTGACCAGTTGGGCTGGGCTGAAGGATCTCTGGCTGCTTTGGTTGGGTTGAAGAGTCTCCAGCTGGTTGGGTTAGGTTAAAGCATCTCCAGCTGGTTGAGTTGGGATGAATTGAGTTAAAAGACTTTCCAGCTGGTTGGGTTGAGTTGAGATTGTCCAGCTGCTTAGGTTGGGCTGAATTGAGTTGAAGAGTCTCCAGGTGGCTGGGTTGAGCTGAGTGGAAGAGTCTCCAGCTGGTTGGGTTGGGTTGGAGAGTGTCCAGTTGGTTCGGTTGACCTGAGTTGACTTGAGTTGAAAGGCCTCTAGCTGGCTGAGTTGGGTTAAAGGATCTCCAGCTGGTTGAGTTGGATTGAGTAGAATTGAATAGTCTCCAGCTGGTTGGGTTGAGTTAAAGGGTCTCCAGACAGTTGGGTTGACCTGAGTTAAGTTGGGTTGAAAGGCCTCCAGCTGGTTGAGTTGGGTCCAAGGACCTCCAGCCAGTTGGGTTGGGTCAAATGGTGTCCAGCCGGTTGGGTTGAGTGGAGTGGAC